AACTAATTTCAGCAAGACAATTCAGTGACAAATTCATTTCAATATATGGTTCTGAAACAGTTGGATATCCATATACAAAAGAATGAAATTGGACACCTACCTTACATCATACATAAAATATAAAACACCTAAATGTAAGAATAAAAACTACAAAATTTTTAGTAGAAGACATTGGAATAAATCTATATGACTCTGGTTTAGGCAATGCTTTCTTAGATATGGCACCTGAAGCATAAGCAACCAAAGTGGGGGTGTGAGGAAGGTAGTTTGGACTTCATCAAAATGAAAACATTTTGTACTGAAAAGGTTACCATCAATAAAGTAAAAATATAACCTATAGAATGGGAGAAAATATTTGCAAATCATCTATGTGATAAGAGTCTAGTACTCAGAATATACGACCACTCATCTGTAAGTTTTTCATACAGTGGTGTCTTGCATGTTACTGTGAGGCTGGAGGATATGCCACTGGTATTTCAAATACCAGCAGGATCACCCATGATGGAGAGATTTCAGCAGAGCTTCTAGACTAAGACAGACTCAGAAAAAGGAAGGGTCCATCCACTTCTCTAAGAATTGGCCAATGAAAACTTTATGAATAGCAGTGAAACACTGTCTGATACATTACTGCAAAACTTTATGAATAGCCCTTATAAAATTGTCCAATATAGTCCTGGAAGATGAGCCCCTCAGGTGGGAAGGCACTGAAAATAGGAGTGGGGAAAATCTACCTCCTCAGACTAGAGTCAACCTTAATGACATAAGAGGAGTAAAGCTTTCAGAACCTCCATTTGCTGATGTGGCATGACTGAAGATGAGAAGAAATAGCTACAAACATTCATTAATAATCAAAACATGGAATGTACAAAGGTTGAATCTAGGAATATTGGAAGTTGTCAAGAATGAAATGCAAAACAAAAAGATTAATATCCTAAGCTCTAGTGAGCTAAAATGGACTGGTTTGGACCATTTTGAATCAGACAACCATATGATCTACTATGCTGGGAATGACAAATTGAAGAGAAATGTCATGGCATTCATCATTACAAAGAATGTTTCAAGATCTATGCTGAAGTACAATGTTGTCAGTGATAGGAAAATATCCATATGCCTACAAGTAAACCAGTTAATGCTAATATTATTCAATTTTATGCACCAACCACCAAAGACAAAGATGAGGAAATTGAAGATTTTACCAACTTATCTACAGTATGAATGATCAAACATGCAATCAAGATGTGTTGATTATTACTGGTGATTGGAATGCAAAAGTTGGAAACAAAGAAGAATCACCATTAGTTGGAAAATATGGCCTTGGTGATAGAACTGATGCTGGAGATCACATGATAGAATTTAGCAAGACTAACAATTTATTCATTGCAAATATCAATTTTCAACAACATAAACAATGGCTATATATGTGGACTTTGCCAGATGGAGTACACAGGAATCAGATTAACTACATCTGTGGAAAGAGTCAATGCAGAGGTGAAATATCTTTAGCCAAAACAAGGCCAGGAACTATCTATGGAATAGACCATCAACTGCTTATATACATGTCAATTTATCGTAGACCATATGAAAAAGGCCAATTAATCATCAAATTTAAGGTTAATTTTCCTGAGAGTGGCTTTCTCTCTCCTGATAAACTCTCTTTGCTCGAGAAACTCCTGCCTGAGAGAAAGGAAGTAGAAGAGATGACGAAATGGATCAGGTAGAACTGGTGGACTTTGACCCAAACCAGGAGCAGCAACACCATTACAATGGAGAAGCCTATGAGGATGATGACCATCACCCAAGAGGTGGGGTTCAGTGTCAGACCTCTTAATGGGGGCGAGTGAATAACACACACTACTGACATTTTATATGCAGTAGTGAATAAGTGAAGGACTGTAATCGTATGCTCGCTACTTGCTATTGTTTTTGTTTTAATATTCAACAATCAGTAGTGTTTTAAAGTTAAATGAAGAGTAAACTCAAATATAAAAGCTCAAAAAAAAAAAAAA